GTATATTTTGGCCAGGCTGCAGTGTTGCAAATTTAGGAATACGGTAATATAATTAAAGTGGAAATGCAGGGCGGTAATCTCACCCCAGTGGGAAGAAGAGTTTCTGAATCAGCTTTGTGCCTGCTTTTTAATGCCTTCCCAGGGACAGAACATAGGAATTCCTAGTGCTTGATTTGTTAAGCCGAATATTTCCCATTTCATCACCGTCTGTGTAATCAGAAACCCCCAGCTATAAATACAGGATTAACTGCCCGTTTCTAAATTGAATGGATGTTTTCTTGCTAGTTATCCTTACCAAGTATTGAAGAAAAATATAAATGGGGATTACAAAATTTTCCTGTGCCAAATTGAAATGTTGCTCTCCTATTGCAGACCTATCCAGTTGTTAAGATGCACTAAGTGTCTATGGAGATTCTCAATCATCCAGGTCATGGTTGTCCCAAAGGTGTTTTTCCAAAAGGCAACTGGGCTTTCTTGGGTGTTTTTTTTCCTTGAAAATATTTCGCTTTTCAGATAACAGATAATCAGAGTTGGAAGGGAACTTGTAGGTCATCTAGTCCAGCGGTCGCCAACCTTTTGAACCTCAGAGACCACCAAACTCATAATTTTAAATCCTGCGGACCACTAATATGAATTTTGACTGATGGGGGCTGCAGGAAAAAAGTCTGCAGGAAAATTCCCCACCCCGTTTTCCTACTGATCGATCATTCTTTATTTGGGATTGCAGGATACCGTCTCCAGCTCCGTTCTCAGGGGGAAAGAGAGAGAGAGAGAGACTTTTGGCTTCATGCAAGGAAAGCAGCAGAAGCTGCAGAAGTCTTTCTTTCTCTCCCCCAAACTCCACCAGAAATGAATCTTTGCCGGTGCAGCCTCTTGGAGCAGGATGCTGTGCAGGGTCCCAAAGACTCATTTCTGGTGGACTTTGGGGGAGAGAAAGAAAGACTTTTGCTGCTTTCCTTGTGTGCAGCCAAAAGCAGAAGAATAAAGAAGCAGAAAGAAGCAGCCCGGTGGCCAGGCGAGGTGCGTGGGGCAAGTTCCCTCCCTGGTCTTTCCCTCCTCCCCTCACTACCTTGTGTTCCTGGGGGCCATGTGGGCGGCGCAGCCTTGTGTACCCGTGCAGCCTGGATTAATTGCTTTGGGGGGTGCTTTGGGGGTGACATTTCTCTGCAGACCACCAAAATTTTCGCGCGGACCACCAGTGGTCCCCGGCCCACTAGTCCAACCCCCCGCCCAAGCGGGAGACCCTACACCATTTCTGACAGATGGCAGTCCAATCTCTTCTTGAAGGTCTCAAGGGATGGCGCTCCCACAACTTCTGAGGGCAAGCTGTTCCATTGGTTGATTGTTCTCATTGTCAGAAAGGTTCTCCTTATTTCAGGTTGAAATTGTTCAGTTTCCATCCATTATTCCTTGTCTGGCCTACAGGTGCCTTGGAAAATAGCTTGACCCCTTCCTCTCTGTGGCAGCCCCTCAAATATTGGAAGACTGCTATCATGTATCCCTTGGTCCTTCTCTTCACTAGACTAGCCAAGCCCAGTTCCTGTAATTGTTCTTCATATGTTTTAGCCTCCAGTCCCCTCATCATCCTGGTTGCTCTTCTCTGCACTTTTTCTAGAGTCTCAACATTTTTCTTATAATGTGGTTTTCATCCAAGAAGCTTCTCCAGTTCAGTTCAAGGGGAGAAAAAAGCAAGTAAGTCCTGTTGCCTTTTGAAATGCACCAAAAAGATTTGAGAAAAATATTTGGGACTTTGATGTTATATATGCTGATGGCAGCAAGATTTACTTTGTGCTTAAAAATGGAAAGACACTTTGATTCCCACAATGGACGAATGGCTGCAGAAGTTGATGGAGTTAGCAGAGATGGCCAAATTGACGGATCTGATTAAAGAAAAGAACACAATTAATTTTGTTTCTACCTGGAAACCACTTTAGGACTTTGTGCTTGAGGTGGGGGGAAAAATGAAACCTTGATTTTGAGTTTTGAAGATTAGGTAGGTTTGTTGTTACAGAAATGGCTGGTTTATATTGTTCTACAAAAGTAAAAAGTTGAGGTTTTATGTTATTACCTTATTCTTCTGCACCAAAAGGAATTGGAAGTCAACTCGTTTTCTTTCTTTTTCCATTCTGCCCCACACTTTTCCCTCCCTTGTTTTCCCATTATTTTCTGTTGTAATTTTGTATTTTATATTGTATTTTGATAAACTAATAAAATTTTGATTTTTTTGAGATTCTGTTTATATAAAGCACCACAGAACAAACAAAAGGTACAGTCACCATGTGCTTTACTGCTCAACTATATAACAGTTACAGGAAACTCTACTCAGAACAAAAGAGCATAGAGTATATAGTTATACTATAGATCCAAATACTGCCACCTACTGGGTGAATACTCCTGTAGTTGTTGCATAGAAATGCATTCCAAAGATGGATTCCAACAGAGAAAATCCTCAATTTATGACCCCAGTTGAGATCAGATTTCCACTGCAAAGCAAGGCAAGTGAATTACACCTGATTTTACTTTTTTTGCCACAGCTGTTAAGTGAATCACTGCAGTTGTTAAGTTAATCATACAGTTGTTAAGCAAATCCAACTTACTGCACACACACACACCCTCCCGATTTTGTTTCTCGGAAGGTTGCAATGATCACATGACCCCAGGGCACTGCAACCATCATTAGTACATGCCAAGTTCCCAAATTTTAATCATGTGATCATGATAACCTGGGGGTGCCATACCGATCATAAATGTGAAGTTTGGTTGTAAGTCACTTTCTTCAGTACTGTTGTAACCTTGAATAGCCACTAAACAAATGGTTGTAAGTCAAGGACTACTTGTAAACTTGTCTAAAGAAGGACACAACAAGACTGTCATAGAATGTCCAGTTACAGAGAATACACCTTGTACTCAATTCATAGCATAACCAACTAGACATGAATAAGATTGCGGTCTTCAGCTAGCACTTTGGTTCTGAAAGTACTGGGTTTCAGTAGTATCTATATTTATCCTTTTTTCTTTCTGCTTTTCTGCTCAAAGTTTGACAAAGAAAGCAAAAAAGGACAATGTATTTTTGTCTGCTTCGTTGCACAGAAATGAGGGGTGGGCACATTGGGAGAAAGGTGAAAATAACTCAGTTTAAGTGTGTGTGATAAAATAGGAAGGCACAAGAATGAAGGGTGTGACTTTGTGTACAAAGAAGCACTAGTCAAATGAAGTTCATTGGGTGGGTGGGTGGGTTGGGGCCATAAAGAGAGAATGAATAAGATTCAAAGTGCAGCCTCAAAAGGAAGAATGAGCTGGTCGAGACCGAGAAAATTGTGGTTAGATGAACTTGCCAAGTTCCTCAGAAGAGAGGTGAGAAGAACAACAGGAAACGCATGGAGAGAAAGATCGGCAGAGAGTAAATGGTGGTGGTGTAAACTCGATTTAGCTAGATTTATCATTTCCCTGTTTTGCTATTGCTGTGCTTTGCATAACTACGATTGCATTCCAAGAAAGAAACGAATAAAACACTACCCCAAAAAAGTGTGTGTGTGTGATTGGGTGTGCAGTATTATCAACAGGCCCTTTGAAGTAGTTTATGACAATTTTTTTTTCTCCTTAACAACTTTAAGATGGACATGCCTGGGGAATTCTGGGAGTTGAAGTCCACACATCAAGATGTTGTGGAACCACAATATATGATAATTTTTTTTTTTTTTTTTGTCAGCCTCTGGTGTTTACTTCTGATTCCCAGCAAAAGAAATCCAGGGGTGGGATTCAAAAATCCCAGCAACCGGTTCACTTCCGGGTTGCTGGGTGAGCATGGCCATGATGGGCATGGCCTACCAGAACTTTCTGTTTCCGGCGGGCCTCCAGAAAACAGCCTCCCCCAGCCCGATTCACATAACAACCACATGACTAACCATATGACTAACTCAACAACTGCAGTGACTCACTTAACAACAGTGGCAAGAAAGGTTGTAAAATATGGCAAAACTCTCTTGTCTCACCGAGCCACAGAAATTGTGGGCTCGATTGGGGTTGTACGTTGAGGACTTACCAGGATATGAGCCATGGTGGTGGCACTAGTTAGAATGCAGTACTGCAGGGTATTTCTGCTGACTGCTAGATGTCTGCAACTTGGCAGTTCGAATCCCACCAGGCTCAAGGTTGACTCAGCCTTCCATCCTCCCGAGGTAGATAAAATAAGGTCCCAGATTGTTGGGGGCAATAGGCTGACTCTGTAAACCGCTTAGAGAGGGCTATAAAAGCACTATAAAGTGGTATATAAATCTAAGTGCTATTGCTATTGCTATAAGCCCCAATTAGAAGCTTCCGTACATTGGTAGCATTAAAGGGCAGAAGTCCCCAAACTTGGCAACTTTAAGACTTGTGGACCTCAACTCCCAGAATTCTCCAGCTTGTGGACTTCAACTCCCAGAATTCTCCAGCATAGCTGGCTGGAGAATTCTGGGAGTTGAAGTCCACAAGTCTTAAAGTTGCTAAGTTTGGAGACCCCTGGGCTAGAAGAATAAACTTAATGAAAGCTGAGCGGAGCTTTCATTGGGAACCGCAGCTCCAAGGCCTTATTTGCATCGTCGTCGTCGCATCCCGGGGCTCGAAGCGCTCACCGACTCAAAGCAAGCCACGATCGGATTTGTTTCAGCGCGTTGCCGCCTTTGAGCGCTTCGACGCATTTAATAAACCGGATTTATAGCGGCGGAGCCTGAGGGTAGGGTTTTCCTGCCTAAAGCAGGGCGGGTTGGACTAGAAGGTCCCTTCCGACTCTCGTTCTTCTGTATTCTGATGAAGCCAACGATAGGAACCAGCCAAAGGCTCAATTTGGACCGGGGCGGCCGGCGGCGAGAAGGAGAACCCACCTCCCCACCCTCATCCCCCTTCTAGGCGCGCAGTCGCTCACTTGGGCCGCGCCCCCTTCCCTCTTCAAAAGCGCCGCCTCGACGCAACTTTTGACGGAAGTTTTAAGTTTCTTTCTTTCTCATCCCGGAGCCGTCCCGGCCTCATGCTCTCCCAATACGGACACCGCGCCTTGGGCGCGCTGATGCTCTTGGGCACCGCCTCGGGTTTGGTGGCCGTGCTGTCCTCGATGCTGCTCTTCCAGATCCAAGGATTGAAGCACGACAGCAACTACCAGCTGTCCGGGAGGGTCCTCAATCGCCTGAACCAGAGCTCGGCCGCCCTGGCCTCGCTCGGCTTGGTGCTCAGCCTGAGCTGCCTGCTCCTGAGCCTCCTGCACGGCTACTGCGGCGCCGAGCGATGCGCGGCCTCGGGGGGCGCGCTGGGCAGCGAGAGGTGCGTCTACGGGGGAGCGGGAGGTGGGGGAGAGAGTGTGGGGAGCCTCGGACGGGTGTCCCGGCCTGCTCTCTTCTCCGACGGAGCCCCCGAAGCGATGGAAGGTCCCCTGTCAAAACGATGGGCGGGGGGGGGGGGGGGCGCGGGGGCTTTTCTCGGGGGGGGCACTTTCGGAGCTGGGTTTGAGCGGGGGGGCGGGGGAGGCACTTAGTTGGCGCTGAGGATGCAACCTGGGTTAACTTCCTGCGCTGAGATGTATTGCTTTGCTGAGAGAGGGGTAGACCTTTGGATAGGCTGTCAATCAAGATACTAACGACCTTTGAATTCTACTTATTTATTTTTTATTTATTTATTTTGATTTGTCTTACAAGATTACAGGTATAAGTATAGACATAGTTATGAGTACATGAACTGGGTACATATAAGAAAGATTAAAAAAAAGAAACAATAGGACAGGGACAGTAGGCACGATTGTTGCGCTTATGCACGCCCCCTACAGACCTCTTAGGAAAGAGGTGAGGTCAATAGTAGACAGTCTTAAGGTTAACGTTTTTGGGGTTTGGGGAAGAAACCATTTTTTACTTGAAACTTGATCAGATCTAACAAAGGATTGGGAGTCACCCAGAGTTGGTTATCAAATGGGTGACTACAGCAATAGCACTTAGACTTATATACCACTTCACAGTGCTTCACAGCCCTCTCTACGAGAGAACAATCTGGGTCCTCATTTTACCCACCTCGGAAAGATGGAAGGCTGAGTCATCAACCTTGAGCCTGGTGGGATTCGAACTGCCAAATTACAGGCAGCTGGCTGTCAGCAGAAGTAGTTTGCAGTACTGCACTCTAACCACTGCGCCACCGAGGCTATATATAAATGTTTTAAATAAATACGTAACAAAGAGAAAGAACACAAGACAAGGGTGAAATCAAGATTTTGGAGGCATTAGTCCAATGGTGGAGAATATATCTAGTTTATGATTGGTCTGTGGGTTGACTTGGTCATTTTCTTGCACATGTTTCTTTAGCTGCCTAGAGATACCGATTTCTCCATCTTGACAGCTTTAAGATGTGTGGACTCCAATTCCCAGAATTCTGCAGTGAACAAGCTGGTTGGGGAATTCTGGGAATTGAAGTCCACGCATCTTAAAATGGCTGAAGTTGAGAAACACCACGATAGGGAATCGATCCAAAGGTGAACCAAATTAAGCAGAGATCTTATTCTGTCGCCTTTTGGGCTTGACATAATTTTTTCTTTTGCCTTTGATTCTGATTTTGAGCTAAGTCACACAATAGTTGGGCTCATATCATATACCGATCCAGGGTTAAAAAAACAACCCAGAGCGTTTGTGTTTACATTAAATCCTGTACCTAAACAAAGGAACCTGAGTAGGGCTTACTATAATAGTCTGATTCACAAAACATGTTGAACTACAATCCAAGTTTGGCTAGTCTAACGTGTGCAAACCCACGAAGGTTCTGGGATGCTTGTAGCTCATATTTACATACTTCCAAGGTCGACAAAATTTATTAAAACTGAAACAGAATCCTAGGGAAATAATTTTTGTACAAGCTTCCCATTCTAGAGTTTTGCTTCACATCAGTCTTGAGGCATTGATCATGTTATTGTGCAAAGTGCAATACACACCAACCACATGCATGTGTCAGCCTTTATAAAGTGAAATTCCGTTTTAATGAGCTATTTTGGAATCCAGCCTACTGGCATTATGCTTTCATCTCAGCTCCTCCATTTTTCCTAAGTTGCTCTGGTGATTCTGAATTAGCACTTCAGATGTTCTTTCTGGATTCCACTTCATACCTCATCTCCCTTTCCTTCTCCCCCTGTTCTATAATCCACATTAAATTTGTTTCCTTTCCCCCTTCTTCCTTCTCGTTTTCCCTTTCCCCTTCCCTTCCTTTCCCTCCTTCCCATTTTCCATTTCCCCTTTCCTTCTTCCCTTCCTCCTTTTCCTTTCCTTTCCCTCTCCCTCCTTCTCATTTTCCCTTTCCCCTTTCCTTTCCCTCTTCCTTCCTTTCCCTCCTTCCCATTTTCCATTTCCCCTTTCCATTCCTTCCCTTCCTCCTTCCCATTTTCCATTTCCCCTTCCCTTCCTCCTTTTCCCTTCCTTCCAATTTCCCCTTTCCTTTCCCTTCCCTTCCCTTCTTCCATTTCCCCTTCCCTTCTCCTTCTTTCCTTCCTTTTTTTCTTTCCCTCCTCCCTTCCCATTTTCCCTTTTCCTCTTTCCTTTTTTTCTTTCCCTCCTCCCTCCTCTCTTCCCATTTTCCCTTTCCCTCTTTCCTTCCCTTTCTCCCTTTCCTGTTTCCTCCCTCTTTCTCTTTCCTTCCTTCCCATTTTTCCTTTCCTTTCCCTTCCCTCTTTCTATGCCTGCCAAGGAGGGCAACGGGATGGAAATCCTCCTGCAATTGACAAAACAAGACTCAATTATTTAGGACATAAAAATACAGGCAGTGATTCCATTTCCCCTCCCTCCATCCCCATCCCTTGGACTCCCTGTGAAGATGAAGTTTTAATTCTGGTAACCACAACTGCTCCTTTCCCACCAAAGGTCCACATTCCTGCTCCCCAGTAACTGCTTGAATTCCTGCATGTTGAAGAGAACGGCAACAAAACTCCAACAAAACAACAGCTCAGGCTAAAGAAAGAGTTTAGAAGAGCCTTTTCATTAAAAGAAATGGGTCAGACATTAATAAAAAGTGGATCTGTTTCTGGATTTGAGCTGAAACCCTCTGCCCTTCCCAAAACAAAGGAGTTATTTCACCCATGGATAGTGTTGACGGCTTGGTTCCTCAAATCTTTGGCAGATTCAACACATTGCATTTTGCGCTGTTCACATTTTGCCGACAGCAATCAAATCTGCAGTACAAGGAGTCCTTGTTTTAAGACCTCAATTGGGACTGGAACTTCTGTCGCTAAGCGAGGTGGTGGTTGTGTGAGTTGCACTCAATTTTACAACTTTTTCGCCATGGTCATTAACCAAATCATGGTTGCTAAGTGAATCACCCGGGTGTTAAGCAAATCTGACTCTTGACTTTGCTTGTTAAAAAGTCAGCTGGGAAGGTCATAAATATGGAACACATGACCCTTGGATGCTGCAACCATCGTAAATATAGGCCGGTTGCCAAGGGCAGACATTTTGATCACATGACCATGGCTTTCCTGCTGTTATGGGTGAAAAATGGTTGTAAGTCACTTTTTTCAGTGCTGTTAACTTTGAACGGTCCCTAATGAAAGTTGGTATGTTGAGGACTCTGTGTTTTAGAGCAACCAGTGGGCTGGGGACCACTGGTGGTCTGCGAAAAAATTTTTGCTGATCCACAGAGAAATGTCACCCCCAAAGCACCTCCCCAAAGCAATTAATCCAGGCTGCACGGGAACACAAGGCTGTGCCACCCACATGGTCCGCGGGAACACAAGGTAGTGACGGGAAGAGGGCAAGGGCAAGGAGGGAACTTGTCCCACTCGCCCCACACACCTTGCGCGGCCACCGGGCTGCTTCTTTCCGCTTCTTTCTTCTTTTGCTTTTGGCTGCACACAAGGAAAGCAGCAAAAGTCTTTCTTTCTCTCCCCCAAAATCCGCCAGAAATGAGTCTTTGGGACTCTGCACGGCATCCTGCTCCAAGAGGCTGCACCGGCAAAGACTCATTTCTGGCGGACTTTGGGGGAGAGAAAGAAAGATTTCTGCAGCTTCTGCTGCTTTCCTTGCATGAAGCCAAAAGTCTCCCCCCCCCCCTCCCTCCCTCCCTCCCTCTCTCTCTCTCTCTCTCTCTCCCCTGAAAACAGAGCTGGAGATGGTATCCTGCGATCCCACATAAAGAATGATCAATCGGTTGGAAAACGGGGTGCGGAATTTTCCTGCAGCCACCATCAGTCAAAATTCATATTAGTGGTCTGTGGGATTTAAAATTATGAGTTTGGTGGTCCCTGAGGTCCAAAAGGTTGGCGACCACTGTTTTAGAGCAAAATGTAACGTCACCAGCATTACAGCAGGTTTGCACGTGAGGTGTTTGGATCAGGGATCTGTCTACTTTGCAGACCAAAGTAATAAAAAATATATTGTTCTTATGTCACAGAGGTGACTGGTTCCTGCTGGAGAGTCGAAAAGTGAGGCATGTAGCTGTTGGTGTGTTTTGCTGTGCTGTTTTAGCCTACCTAGCAGGTGAGTATTTTCTCCCTTCCCTTTCTGGCTTCCCTGGTTTATCTTTTCTTAGAAGAAATGTTCAAAAAACGGTTCGAAAGTTATGTCTGGGTTAAGGAAATAAAATTTCCCATACATATGACTCCTGAAATATTGAGAACCACCCTTTAAAAACAAATTAGACACAAAGGAATAGTATGGAGAGAAGTTACAAAAGCATCCAATCTATTTTATTTTGTAATTATCTATGGCAAGGGTCGGCAACCTACAGCTCTAGAGGTGCATGGGACTCTTTCATCCCTCTGCTGCAGCTCCCTGTTACTGGTTGGCGCTATAATTTGGAGAGGAGCTTCCAGTTTGGGGGGTGGGGAATATAGCGTGTCAGGAGGAGACTCTATGGCAAGGGGTGGGTTTTCCGGTCGCCTCACAATTGATAGGACTTTTGGTTAGGACAGGTAGAGGAAAAAGGATGCTGCACTAGGAGGAGACTCTATGGTGGTGGAACTGGAGTTCCGGTCGGCTCCAGGATTGAACGGGAGGCTTCCGGTTAGAACCTTTGTGGCTCCCGGTGGTTTTTTTTTTTTCCTGTGGGAAATGAGCCCAATGATTCTGAGTGTTTGAGATTGCCAAACCCAGATCTATGGTCTATGTTTTAATTTGGATCTTATTTTTTAAAGTGTTTTATTATAAACTGCACAGAGAGTTCTAGCAATTGGATGGTTTAATTTTAAATAAACGAATTGCAATAAATTGCATACATGTAATCCTCAACATACGACCACAATTCAGCCCAAAATTGATATTGCTAAGTGAAACATTTGTTAAATGAGTTTTGCCCCATTCTACAGCCTTTCTTGACACAGTTGTTAAGTGAATCACAACAGTTGTTAAATTAGTAACATGGTTGTTAAATGAATCTAGCTTCCCCATTGACTTTGCACGTCAGAAGGTCATGAAAGCTGATCACATAACCCCAGGACCCTGCAACTGTCATAAATATGAACCAGTTGCCAAGCATCCGAATTTTGATCATGTGGAGATGCTGCAATGGTCATAAGCGTGAAAAATGGTCATAAGTCACTTTTACCAGTGCCATTGTAACTTTGAATGGTCACGAAATGAACTGTTGTAAGCTGAGGACTATTGTATAGGCCAGCGGTGGCTAAACGTTTTGGGCTCCTGTGCCAAAAATTGCGCTTGCACGCTCACGTGCCAGCATCGAGAAGGCAATGCATGAGCCCCCCCACGCCCCTGTGCATGCGTGCGTGATCCTCCCCTCTGCCACCCCCTTACCTGCACTGCGCCTCCCGGCTGATTTTTGGCCTGTTTGAGTCCTTTTTCAGCCTCCCAGAGGCTCGAGGGAAGCCTCTGCAGCATTTGTAGGTCAAAAAATGGGCCCGTTTCATTACTTCTGGTATTTCTGGAAATACAGGAAGTGACGAAATGGGCCTGGTTTCCGGCCTACAAAGGCTGCAGAGGCTTCCCTCGAGCTTCTGGGAGGCCAAAAAAGGACTCAAACGGGCCAAAAATCAGCTGGGAGGTGCGCGCATACGCAGTGAGGTAAGTTTGCCTGGGGCTCACGTGCCTGCACAAATGGCTCTGCGTACCACCTGTGGCATGCGTGCCATAGGTTCGCCATCATGGGTATTGGCCAAGCCTTTTTCAGCATGCTAATGGAGGGTACAATTGCAAGTCAGTGTGTTGAGGGAACCTAGTTCTCAGCATCTTGCGTGAACACATGATACTTGTTTGATACCCAGAGGTGGTATTCAACCGGTTTGGACCAGTTCTGACAGACAGGTAGTAGAAATGTTGATCAGTTCGGAGAACTGGCAAATACTACCGTGTTTCTCATATAATAAGGCCGGGTCTTTTTTTTTTTTTTTGAGCCCCGAAAAAATGGCTAGGCCGTCTTTTCGGGGGTGACTTAATTCCCCCCCCTTGCATCTTCAGGCGGGCGGCGATGGCTTGGATGTTGACCTTGGCGTTGGTGAGGCACTTAGTATCGGGGTCAACGCAGACAGCACCATATCCGGGTGTGCAACAAAAGTACTTCCTCACGGCAAGCCCCCCCCCCACCATTCCCCCCCATTTCACATGTTTTAATATAGGCCTTAATTTGGGGGGAGGGGCTTAATTTCATTTCATGCCTATAAAACATGCTGGGACTTCCTCTTGGGGGAGGCCGTATTGTTGGAGAAACAGGGTACCTCTGACTGGCTCCACCCACCCACCCCCACCATTTCCTGTCCTATGTTCCATTGATTTTTAGCTCAGCTAATTCGCACGGCAGAGCAAATTGCCACACCTCAGCTGAGCTAAAAAAACAGCTCACGTCATAGAGGGGGATCTTTGAGTTCTGCGTGCACAAAGCAACGTTTCAGTGCTGCGTGCGCGAGCGAAGCGATTTTTGAGTGAAGCGTGCATGCGCAAAGCACACAGAACCAGTAGCGTGCAATTTGGAATCCCACCACTGTTGATACCCAATTCCTTTGTAGGCTGTTTTAAGCTTTGGTGGTTGTTAACATTTTCACCTTCTCTGCCGCCCTCCAGCCCTCTCCGCCTACGTGACGATGGCATTTCAGAGAGAAACAGGAATTACCTGTACGTGTATCTTCTCTTCTGGGGTCGTCGTCTTGATCATTACGGTGATCCATGTGCTCATCCAGGCTTCTAAAGCCACGCAGCGGAGCGTGTCGCACAATCTTTACGAGAACGACTCGGCCCAGAGCGGCGAAACGCCAGCCGTCATTCCTCCTAGCGATGCTCCAAAAATGGCCTCTTCGCAGTCACGTCTGGAAATCCACCCGGAGGTTTCATACTTGTCCTACATGGAACAGAAGTCCCACCAGACCACTCCAGCGAGCGGCACCAATGTCACATCCGTGGACAGCACTGCAGCGACCCTGGAGAAAGAGGGGTGTAGTAGCATCTCCAGGATGCACCGGACACTTTCGGCAGAGTCTGGCCTTCTGCTGAGCCACGGAATGAGGCAGGAAAAAGTCCTGTCTCGCAAACCAGCGGGATCAGGCAAAGATTCGACCTTAGTGTGAAATCTCAGAAAGGATCCCAGGGATCTTCAATCTCCAGATGACCCTTGCTTGGAAGGAACACTTATATAGCTTGATTGCTTCACGTGCTTTCTCATTCACTCGTAAGTGGGGAACAATTGTATTGTCAACTCATAAAACATTCCTATGTGTCTCTCCACGCACCCCAGGTGTTGGGGAGCGCTTGGAGAGGCCGGGACCCAGGACCCCGGTAATATCGATTTATGATGAGAGTTGGCTTGCTATTTTCCATTCATCCCCCTCCCTGATTCTCAAGCAAACTTCAAAGGATTTATTAGAGGCTTCATACAGGGCAGTGCCAGTAGGTCGCCTCTAATAAATCCTTTGAAGTTTTTTGAAGTTTGGCTTGAGAATCACGATTTAATTAGGGCAATTGCTGGAATCTTGACATGTATTTAGATTCCCTTTTAAAAGGAGATTAGGGTCAGCCTCACTGGGTAGAGCAGACCAGAAAATCAGCTCCAAGGCTTCCTGAGACTGTAATTAAGCACATGCTTAGTCCAAACAACTCTTGTTTTATTTCAACGCTGGGAATTAAGCTCATTCCCAGCCTGTAATGAGTCCCAAACAGTCCCTCGAGATAAGCACCCACCTTTATCTCCTTTGAATTGCTGCCAACAACTAAAGTGCTAAATTAACTGTAAAAAACTAACCAAAGTACAAAGTTCACAGAGCTTCAAGGTTTAATCCGAACAGAGCAAACGACTTTGCTTCCTGCAAAGGTTTCTCTACCTTTGCACCTCCTTTATACCTTAGGGGAGGGGCAATCATCTTCAAGCCTTACTCCCAAGTCACCCCTTTTCTCTTAGCTGCTCTTGCTTCTAGCAGCTTTGCGCACGCACACACTGGGAACAGGCTCCCCTTGTTCCTCTGCCTTGCTGCTGCCAGACTCTGGAGGCTCCAGAGGCAGCACCCCACTCCCAGATGGTCCTGGCCCCATCTTTGCATCGGATGCAGGACCCTCATCCGAGTACTCCCCAGACTCCTGGACTGGTCCCCGTTCTTCCCCACTGTCCGATTCCTCTGCCGTCTGCACAGGCTGCCAGCGAACCACAACTCCACCAGAAGACCTAAACTACATATTATTGAGATAGGCTACAATAATAAAATCTTGCAAGCCCTGATTTTGCTGTGCAGGTAGTCCTCGACTTACAACAGTTCTGTGAGAAATAAGATTTCTGTAAAAGACAGAGCAATCATAATTAGCTTTTATATAACCTAAGAATCTTTAATGAAATACTAAGCAAGATATTTTGTAAGAATGTTCTCTGTATTACAATAACAAGACTATTGTACATTCTAGTCAGATAGCTTGCAGGTCAAGTAAGATAGTTGGCGGGTCAAGTTGTCCAGTTGTCACGTTAAAATTAATACTGTTGACAATAGTTGGATGTGCCAAGAGGATGGAGATTACTGGAAGTGAGTAGGTATTGGAATGGAATTGCTGGGAAAATTCAGATTCGGGATAATGTCAGTGTTCCAGAAAACCTCCACTCCAACAGATAACTCCGAGACAGACATCCTCTCCAGGGTTCTTTTTATTAGAGTAGTAAACTGGCACCTCTGGGAAATCCAGAATCTGAAAGTTCTGGGTTTCCTTGCAATAAGTACAAAATTACAAATCCACCCCCTGCACCCATCATTGCTTCACATGCCCCATGGCAACTAAAAGACCAATGAAAGTGTCGGCTGGCTGTCAGGGCTCCAACAAATCCACCCCATTCAAATCATAAGTCTCTAGCCACAACTCTCAGAGTAAAAAAAAAAAGGATTTATCAGAAGTGGCCATGTTGGTGTTAGCTGGGTGCAGCCGACACCAAAAAAACATCATTCATTTCCCCCTTGACCCTGGTCTTCCCCCCCACCAGATGTATATTCTCCAATGGGACACATCCCTAGTCAAGAGCCATCAATCATGCTCTCCAGTAATATTCTTGCGTGCCAACAGCTTTGGGCTGCCAAGGCGATTATCTGAGGCATTTGAGGAATGCACTGCTTTCCCCCACTCCCCTTCTGCTGACAACCTTTGAATGGGGTGGATCTGTTGGAGCACTGATATCCCAATCACCATCCGTCCCAACTTGAGACCCAGGTGCAGAATAACATGACCTTGACTTAGAAAAAGAATGCTATTATGCCTAACCACATACACTCCAAGAAATTTCCCCCCTCCCATTTTCCCAGGCTCAAGAATGTGGCAGTGTGGAAGCCTCTGGTGCTAATATGGCTTCCAAAGCTGACAGGAAAATTATACAATCAGAAGTCAACCAATGATAAGAACAGACAGTAACGGGCTAGAGTCTTGAAACAGTATTTAACCATCATTTATTCCTATAGAAGATGTCTTCTGTGGCTCCACCTATGAGCACAGAGGTCCCTTTTGCAAAAGCTAAATAATAAAGCTCTTTATTATTGTTCAAGGGTCTCCTGGTAATTTCACACTTAAAGGTTTAATTTGTTATAATTATTACAAGTTCATTTAGTGACCATTCAAAGTTATAATGGCACTGGAAAAAATGACTGACGACCGCTTTTCACATTACAACCACTGCAGCATTCCCCTGATCAAAATTCAGATGCTTGGCAATTTACTCATGTTTATGACGGTTGCAGTGCCCAGGGGTCACCCGATGACTTCTGTGACCATCTGACAAGCAAAGTCAACGGGGAAGCCAAATGTCAACTCATAAAACATTTTGAATACACGTTTTATAGTTGACAACAGAAAGTGGGGGGGAGTTTCAAAGGCCAAGCGGTAGTGTGGAATCGAAAGTACATTCCATTCATATTTTCTTCAGAGACTGATTAGATGACTAAAGCTTCTGCCATGTAAAAATCTAATTGGAGAGCATGATTGATGACTCTTGGCTATGGACGTGTTTTGTTGGATGATACACCCAGAGGTGGGGGGGAAAGCAGAATCAAGGGTGACAGTGAATTACGTATCTCAGAGTTGGCTACGTCCAGGTTAATGCCGGACGTAGAATGTTACCTTCAAATAAATCTTTTTTAGTTTTGGGAGTGTGGCTCGAGGCTCATGATTTAATTGGAGTAACTGCCGGAATCCTGACACCAGAAACATTTAATAAACTGCAATGATTCACTTAACAACCTGTGGTAAGAAAGGCAGTAAAATGGGTCAAAACTCACGTAACAAGTGTCTCACTCAGCAACAGAAAATCTGAGCTCCATTTGTGGTGGGATGTCGAGGACTACCCTGTATTTCCCCTCCTTGGATCAGGGAGGTGTTTGCATGGACCGTTTCCGAATATTACCTTGATTCCTAGGACCTAAAGAACATTTTTTACTTCTTTACCTAGGTTCTTGTATATGTCTATCTAGGGCACCCCACTTACTCTCAGCAATTAGAAAAATTCACATATTACAGATAGTTTGAGTCTCTTAAGAGTGTCTACGTAGATCATCCACATTCGATGGCCCAAAGGAGATTTTTTTTTTTTAAACAAGGGAAGAATTAATGGGAAAACAGCTATTGCTTTTAAACCCTGATGCAGCAGGAATGAATCTAAAGGGCTGGTTAAGTGTAAGAAAGGATATTTGACTAACCAACCCCCGTACTCTAATGCATGCTGCAAACCAGCACCAAGAAAGACTGCTACTGAAGATGGAGGCCTCCTTTAATGATCCTGTTACCTCCAACACAACTCTGTTCGACTAAGATTAGCTGCCATCCATTATTAGATACTGTACCAGTGGTGGTATTCTACCGGTTCAGCCCGGTTCTACTGAGCCGGTAGCGCCGATGAGCAGTGGAGACTCAACTGGTTCTTTCTGCTGCTCTGCTGTTGGGTCCACCTGCTTGCCCGGGCTCCCATACTGACCGTTATTCCCTGTTTTTGAAGCGCAGCTGCTTTGCGCGGCACAACCGAATGCTGCTTGGCAGCTCCTGAAGCGACAGGGAGAGTGCAGGAGGTGAGCTGGAACACCTCTGCTCCCGCGCAAACGCTTCTGTGCCTGTGCAAAGTGCACATTTGGCACATGTGTGCAAAGTGTGCCCACCAAGCCCTGCCCACTGAAACGGTGGTAAAAATCTTTGAATCCCACCACTGTACTGTACTACACTTAAAGTGTTCATAGGGGCTACCAGAAAGAGGCCATTTGTCTGGATTCACACTAATAAGAGGAAGTATTAAATTTAGGTTTTACTGGCAAAGGGAGACTAGCAGGGGTGGGGTTCAAATTTTTTAACAACTGGTTCTGTGGGTGTGGCTTGGTTGGTGGGCATGGCCAACTCAACATCACTCACATCGAGGCACGCATCTCCTCGCCTGGCCTCTCGTGACTGAGGGGATGCTGCAACAGTCGTAAGTGTGAAAAACGGTCATAAGTCACTTTTTTCAGTCCCATTGTAACTTTGAATGGTCACTCCACACAAGCAAAGTACCAGCAAAGGAGGGGAAAATAACTCCAGAGACGTTCCTGAGACAGGAAGTCTAGTCCTGCCAAGAATGTAATAAGGGGTTAACAGAGAGGCAGTTTCTGTAAGCAACACCAGAATGTTTCCTTCCTGCCTTCCTTACAGGATTAGGCCAGTAATTTCTTCTAACAACCGGTTCTCCGAACTGCTTAGAATGTTAACAACCGATTCTAGCGAATAGGTGGGAACCTGTAGAATCCCACCCCTGGAGACTAGTATAGATCTATTTCAAGCTATTTAGCTCTCATCAGCTAGCCGTAACCTTGTAGGATTCGAACCCAGGCTGCTTGCATCTTAGATAGATGTATTGACCTCTAAGTGTCAAACTTGATTTCATTGAGGGCCACATCAGGGTTGTGTTTGACCTTGGGGCGGGGGGGTGAGCATGGCCAGGGTGGGCGTCACCAGCTCAAGGTTCCTTGTGTCGCGAGTCCTGAGCACTCTGCCAGTGAAAACGGAGCTCGGGAGGGCCCCACGCGGCTCTCCTGAGCTCCATTTTCACTGGCAGAGGGTTGCTGGAGGTCATCGCAGCTGAAAATGGAGCTCAGGAAGGCAGCGCGGGGCTCTCCCAAGCTCCGTTTTCACTGGCAGAGGCACTGCAGGCCAGTCCTTTGCTGTTTCCAAAATAGCCCCTCGGGCCAGATCTAAGCATTCCAAGGGCTGGATTCAGCCCCCAGGCCTTGAGTTTGACAGCCCTGCTCTAAGCCATGGGTTCTCCTCCCTTTGTCACCTATATCAGGGCAGAGATTTTTTTCCTCCGGTCTACCAGGGCAGCCAGGCGAAAATGGAAGCTCTGTCCCATAATTGGGTAGACCAGGTTGCCCTAGTAGATCGGTCCCACCGGAGAAAAAACAGTAAAAGGAAGGTTAGTTGTATAGATCAGGAGTCCCCAATCGTACCGGGCTGCGGAATTGGTGGGTGAACACGCACGCATTAAGCTGCACTTGTGAATGCGGCAGACCCAAAACCATACCCTCTCCCCCACCCCCCTCTGCTGCCTCTGCCAGTGCGTCGAGCTGGAAAAGTTGGAGACCACCAGTATAGGTAGTCCTCAACTTATGACTGCAATTGAGCCCAGAATTACGGTTGTAAGTTGAGG